ACACACAAAGTTAACTCCTGCCCTGTGTAGTGGCATGCCTGTCATCCCAGCAAATTGGGAGGCTGAAGCAGGAGGATCACAAGTTCAAGGCCAGCCTCAGCAACTTAGCAAGACCCTGTCTCTAAATAGAAAATAAAAAGGGCTGGGGATGTGGCTCAGGGGTAGAGTGCTCCTGGGTCCAATCCCCAGCACCCTCTTCTAAAAAGAGTTATCTCCTAGCTCTGCCTACTTGGACCTGTCACAGACTTTCTCTCCCATTTGTTCCCCCTCATTTCCAAGCTTCCTTAACAGCTACCACAGGAGGAGAGGGGACTTAGTGCTTGGGAAGTAGGAAAAGATTATATGAACTGAGGGGAAAAGGACGTTACTATAAAAAAACACGGAGACCCCTCCTTGACAGTGTGGGAGAAGGGGTCCTTTACCTTCTCAGAACCCAGAGCCTCTTCCTTACCCCTAAAACTCTCCCTAGATCCAGAATTTCACTTTCTAGAAAGTGGCTATTAAGGAGAAAGAGGGAAATGGAGTAGAGGTCTTTGAGCCAAACCAGACCCACCCCAGCTGGTCTTCGGGCCCCATCTTCTCCCCGGCTGTCAAGGGCTTCCCCAGCAGAGGTGACTATGTCTGGGCAAAGCCCAGAAAGGTGGCATCCCAGAGTGGGTGGGGAGAATCCAGGCTGGAGATAGCCTTGGAGGGCTGGGGTGGAGTATCTGGAATCTTCCCCATAGGGCCTAGCATTCCCCAGCCCTCTGTGTCCCCTGGAAAGGATCCGCTCCCTGGAGGAGAGAGCCAGCAGACAGGTCTGAGCCGGCCTGCTCCTCCACAGACAGGAGCGGGTGGGGGAGGGGGCCTGGGATCTTGGTGGGGATTGGTATCTGTAACCCTCATCTCCCCTCTGGGGAGTCGAGGGCAGAGGGGTCTGTGACCCAGACTCACCACACTGCAGCCTGAGGCCCCGTGTTTTGYCTCTTGCTTGGCCAGCCTGCTGCCACTTGGAGAGCTAGGAGTCTGGGTCCCCAGGTGTGAACATATTTCTGCCCACCCCTTCCCAAGAAGCCAACATCAGTTTTCCACTTCCCCTCCCCTGGGCTGGGCAGGTTCAGGCCAATCTACACAAGAGCTTCACAGCACACATTGATCTGTAACAAAACCACAATATGTGTTCAGGAGAAGGGATTCCAGACACAGAGAGATGCAGGGAAGGTACATACCCACTCAGAAACAGACATGCAGATGCAAAGCATACAGCTCGGCGGAAGTAGGCACCACAGTCCTGAAAACTCATGTCCACATGGACCCATGCTGTGTCAATTTCACAAATATGATTAGCTGTACACATCTCCCTGCCATAATTTCATCCTTCAAAATCAAAGCCTTCTCTGATGGCCCATTCCCCCTGTGTCCCCATAGTATGTGTCTCTCTGTTAGCATTTGTGTTTGGCATTAGAAGTATTCGTTGGCCAGTTTGTCTTTGTCTCTGAAGATTATTTAAGGGAAGGGATCTTGTCTCATGCAAGTGTGTATCTCCAACATCTAACATGCCACCTGGTATTTAGTTAGTAGGTGAGGTGTTTACTAAGTAATTGTGAGCCAGTGAACAAAAGAATAAATGAATTTGGAGAAGGGACACTCTTTCCTTGAATCCCCAGAAGCCCCCAGAGGATAACCAGTGGATGGGATCCATGCCTCTGGCCCTGCCTTCCTGTCTCCAGGTGCCTGACCTCACTGTTTCTCAGCTTTTCCAAAGGTCCTCTTTCCCCCCTTCTTCCCTCAGTGTGAAATTATGAATCTATGAATCGGAGTCCCACCTGAGGGCTGGTAGGCAAGGTAAGGGTTAATAACACCTCATTAGTGTTTAATTGGAGGAAGGAAGCTGCTCTGGCACCAGACAGGTGGGCAGGCCTGCCCCTTGCTGGAACCAGGCATCCCTGGCTTCAGCACCCCACCAGGCCTGTTGGTGATTTGGCCCTGGAGACCCTCAACCCAGCTGGGGCACCTCCCCCCACCATTCGCTTTGCCAATTTCCTCTCCAGGCAGTACAGACCAACACTCCCCATCTGTCACCAAACATCCAGAGGGGGAGGCAGGCTCCTTATCCTTTCTGCTTTAGCTGGGCTTTGCCCCCTCCCACCTCTAGGAGACATTGGAGAGTGGGAGGAGGGGTGGGGCATGGCGTGAGACAACTGAGGAATAGATTAGAGAGCTACCGAGGGATAGATTCCAGGAAGAGACAAGCGACAGGGCTGGGGATGTGGAGATGTCTGCCCAATTTGACCTTAAATGAAGAGAATGCAAATGAGATGCAGACGATATGCAGACGAACACAAGGATTTCGGAATTGACATTCCTGGTGGCAGCGGTGGTGGCAGCGGCTCGGCACCCAGGACCCCAACGCTGCCGCCAGTAACCCTCTCCTAACCTTTCTGGGTTAAGTGGCGCTGACCATTACTTCTAAAAAAAAAAAAAAAAAAAAAGGGTCTCTATAAGTGCTTGGTTGGGCTGGGCTGCTGGGCCTGGGAAGCTGCGCTCCACCCCAGCTTCCTGGCCCCAACCCAACCACCCACCTAAGCTGAGGAAGCAGCTGGGGCAACCACCACTCTCCAGGTTATGCGCTCGGACGCACCGTCGGTTGCTATGGGGACCCCCTCTTCGCTTCTAGGCCTGAACCAATGGGCAATACGGCTGGTGACCTCATGCCCCAGGCCCCGGGATTCTATTGGCTATTTGGAATATCAAGCGCATCCTTTGCCACTGCGTCACAGCTGGGGATCCCCCGACGACCCCAGCTAGCCAGGCTGGCTGAAAGAAAGGCAGGCCACGAACTTACAATGTGCTGAGTGCACTCATGGGCAAAGACGGAAATAAAATAGGAGGGGTTACAGAAGAAGGAGAGGGTTGCTCTTGAGAGGGAAGGGGCGAATTGTGACCCCGGAAAGTGTGGCGCAGGATCCAGGTCGCAGCGACCCCAGCTCGCAGGCCTCAGGCCAGGGAGACAGGGCGAGGTGAGGCTGAGTGGAGTCTTTGAGTCTTGTTCCGAGAGACTCGGGCAGGCCCAGCAATTTGAAGGCCCCACCCTCAGCTGTCTAACGCCGTTGAGTTTAGGGGAGATCGGCGACGCCCCAAAACTTGCAGGCCTGCCTAGACTCCTGGAACCGCGCCCTGGAACACGCCTCGAGGATTTCTGGTGGGTAGGGCGCGGTGCCCAGCGCCTTCAGCCAGTCTCGGCCCCTTGAGCCAGGAGCCCCATGAGCGAGGGCGCGGCCCGAGACAGCCGTCCACGCAGGGTCGGGACTCAGAGGAGAGCGAATGGAAGRAGGCCGGCGTGGCCCGAGCGCCCGCGGCAGGAGGCTGGGTTTGAGAGCCCCCAGCCCGGCTCCTGCGGTCGCCCAGGACCCGCCCTCGCACCTGCAGAGAGCGGGCGGCCGGCGAGGGCGTGTGCCTGGGTCAAGTGTGCGCGTCCGACTGACGGAGGGCGTGTGTCTGGGTGCAGGCGAAGGCGACTGGGCCCCGAGCCTTTCGCACATGCGTTCTTATCAGCGGCGGATCCGCGCGCCAGCCGGACTCGGGAGCGCGCGCGCCTCCATCCGCGAAGACGGGGTGTCTGGGGCCGCAGGGAGCGGTCCGAGATCCCCGCCGTCTTGAACCAGGGTGYGCGCTGCTGCCGGGTCCTCCCTGGCCTGCACGGGCTGGTTTCTCTGGTGAGGGGCTGGGGGGGGGGGGATCAGTATAGTCGGTTTCTATGGCAACATACTGACACCTTCGCGCATGACGCTAGAGAGGAACTCGAACCCAGAACCAGAAGATCCGGCCACAGCTCCTTCAGCTCAGCTACATCCTCTCTCCTCTGCGCCTCAGCCCCCGCTAGGGATCAAGGTTTGGGGTGAGGGCCATAGCAGAACCACGCAGGGACACGCGCCTACAAACGCAGCATTTTCTGAAAGTGGCCTCGAAGGCCTGGCGGGGTTGACTGAGTCGCCTCCGTCGGCGGTGCTGCCCCCCACCCCGGCCTGAGACAGAGCCCTGGAATGAACGTGACGGGGACTGGCAAAGTCGGGCTCCAGGCGGTGGGGAGAGGGCCCTGCCCCTTTCCAGAGGGGGACCGAGGTGTGACCCAGCAGCGCCAGAGGGCGGGGGAGAGGTGGGCCATCTCAGCATCTCGCGTCCGGACCCGCTCCCTCCTCCCCGTGTTCACACGCCGCCTCTCGCTGCCGCAGCCCGGGCCGAGCTAATCAGCACAACATCCACCTATCGATCGCGGGCTGGGTGCCAGGCGGGCCGGCACCTCGCCAGGGGAGGCTGCGGGGCACTGGGCGGGTACGCCACAGCTGCAGGGGGAAGGCACCCCTTCCCCTGTCTCCACCCAGGGCACCGTTCAGAGAGAGGGGCCCGGCTGGGCTCGGGGGTTCCTAGCCTCGCCCGCCAGAGGTGGGAAGAGACCGTGTTGGCTGAGAGCAAAGGGGGCCCTCCCTCCTCAGCCCCACCCCCTCCTCCTTATAAAAGCCAAGAACAAAGAGGCCGCCGGGGAAGGAGGCTTTGATCTGACCCCACCTTCCAGTTCTAGGCCAGGCACCGCCCAGAGTGCCCTTGGGGAGGGGGAGGGACGCCCAGCTCGMAGGGACCCAGGCCTCCTGAAACCCAGGGGCTGTCTTTTCACTGCCCCTTACTTTTGCCGCGGCACCCTGTTAGGTGCTGCCAGTGCTTGGGTAGTGCCCCAAGCGGGTGGGCTTCCAGAAGCACTGCCCCCTCAGTCCAGGAAGCGGCTAGGGAGGTAGAAGAGGGTGCCAAGCTCCACAGCTGCTGCTGGCACCCACCCACACTGCCCAGAGGGGTGCCCACTGAGGCCTGGCATAGATGGCCTGGGCACAGCTGGCATGGAGGTCAGGCCAAGCYAGGCTGAGAGTACATGCTGCAGGGAGTCTTGGGGTCAGGGAAGGAGCCAGAGGGCAGCAGGTTAGGGAGGGCAACAGAAAGATGGGTGCTTTATTGAAGGCTTGGTCCAGACACTTTATAAAAATACAAACTGGCATGAAATTCAACCTCATGACAAGTCCGTCTTCACGGAAGACAAGTGAGTGACCCCCTGGGGACGGCAAGGTGCTGCCCCAGGGAAGAAGCCTAAGGGGCACAGAGAGCAGGGCTCTTCCTTTGCCCTGGGCCGGCAGTCCACCTGTCCCCAGGTCTTCTGCCTTGGCCCTGGTGGCTCAAGGGTTCCATCCCCCTAAACCCCAATCTTCTYGTGGAGGGAGAGAATCATCAGGCAGCGGATGAGGCTGTTTGTCCCGGCTCTCCTCTGGGGTGCCTGGGCTGTCTGCAGTTCCTTCGCAGCTCTTCTCCAACTGTGACGAGTGGGCAAGGCTCCCACAGGGGTCACCTCAGACCCTCTGACTTTCTCCATCAATGCTCCATTGTGTCTGTCTGGCTTGGCATCCCCAGTGCAGGTGGCAGGGACCCGCTCCCGAGGGCCTTGGGAGGGCTCTGGCTCCACGGGGCTCACAGAACTCGAAGGAGACGGAGGATGGGGAGCAGCAACAGCAGCAAGAGACAGAGGGGGCTGGGAGCATGTCCCCCTCGCCACCCTGACGTGCCACTCTCTCCAGGGCTCCCAACTGGATGGGCTGGCTCCGACTCTGTGGGGGGGGTGGCACTGATGGGTCGGCCCACTTGTTCAGCAGCTCTCTTCTGGCCTGTCCTTTACCTGTTCACTAGAGTCTTCCAAACCAGTTGCTGCCCCCCAGTGAGCCACTCACCACCTCATCCTTCCTAATCCCAACATCCAAGTGTCCCCCAAATAAGACAACCAGTAGTCTCTCCACCTTCCAAGTCTCCTCCACTAAAGACAGCCGGTCCAGCCTCGGCCTTGCCTAGGAGATCCCATTCCCGCAGCCCAGCTTAAAGAGGGGTACAGCAGGGCTGGGCTGTGGCTCAGTGGTAGACCACYTGTCCCACATGCATGAGGCCCTCGATCCTCAGCACCACATAAATAAATAAAATAAAGGTATTATGCCCATCTACGACTAAGAAAAGGGGGTGCAGCAGAAGCTCCCACAGTGCTAAACATGGGAGAAAAGTCCCAACTTGAAGCTGGACCTGGATCCCTGAGAGCCTGATGCTCCTAGATTCTCCCCCCTCCTTCCCTCCTCGCCGGAAGATTGCTCCCCACCCCCACGCCCACTTACTGCCCTCCTTGCAGCACACAGACACCTGGAGCCTCAAGCACTGGCCAGGACTCTCGGGAGTTGGCACGGCTGGGGGGAAATTGGAGGAAAGGAGTTAGCACGGGGAATCGCCCTTCCTATGCCCTAGGCTGCTGTCGACCCTCCAGCCTCCCTCTCTCCTGTCCCAGGAAACCTTTCACTTAAGTTGGTGCCAAACTCAGGTGGCAGCCCCACCCATGCCATTTTGCATTTCCCTAGCATCCCCTTCTTTCCTGGCTCCTCTAAGTCTCTCCTCTTTGCTACAGACGCACTCTATCCCCCTGCTCAGTCCTGGGCAGCAGCAGAGGCAGGGAGCCCTAGGCCTCTCCCCAGCTTTCCCAATAGGTGCGTGAAGTGCCCCTGGTCACTCACAGATGTAGTAGTAAGTCTCTCCAGGCAGGAACTCGAAGCCCAAGGAGAAGGGTGTGAAGCGCTGAATCTTCTCTGAGAACCGAACAGGGCCAAAGGGAGCAAAGGGCAGTGAGCACTTCCAGCGCTGGAAGGCGTTCGGCCCCTCTGCGCGGCAGGCCTTATAGCCGGGCCAGTCCACCATGTACAAAGCAAAGGTCTCGGGCCCCTCCGGGGGCCCTGGGCTTTCATAGTGTGGGCAGAAGATGTCTAGGTAATCGTTGAGACCCAGCTCCACCACAGCGTCTCCTCGAAGCAGCCTGTGGGCACAGGGTGGCATGGGCTGAGGGGTGACGGCACAGCACAACTTGGGGCGTGAAGGTCAGGGTGTACCTCCTCAAAGGTCCCTTCCAGCCTCTCTCCCACCCACTGGAGATGGAGGAGCACGGGGAGGCCTGAGTGCCCCAGAGTGATAAATCTTGCCAAGGAATGCAAGGGACAGCTGGGCTCCCATCCACAGCTCAGAGAGGTTAAGAGATCTCAGCRCCCACAGCACACGGCTTCTTTATGTGGGGGAAGCCAGCCACTAGCCTACCTTTCAGGGAGGAGCTGCCAAGCCCCTCTCTAGCCCTGATGCCCTTCCCGCAGCCTGGCACCATGTTTTGCTTGGTAAGTGTTAGGTGGACGGAGTCTATGAAGATGCTGAGGTGGGGGTGGGGTGCTGGGGCAGCAGGTACGGGCACACAGCGCAAGTACAGGCAGGGCTGAAGGCGGGCAATATGAGGACCCTTAGCCCCTTTAGACCCCAGCCCAATGGTAAAAGGAATGTCGTGATAAGAAGAGTGAGGGAGAAGGTATTAGGTGCCTCGATTTTCTTTTTTTTGACCGGAACAAGGAAGTGCCAGGCATGTAGAGAAGTCCCCTCCACAAACTACCCCATTTTCAGCCTTCTCCAGACCCCCTTCCTCACCTCTTAGGAGCTGCCTGAGGGAGCTAATAGAGGTGGGAAGGCTGGACAGGCCACCCTCCAACAGAACCAAACACTGAATGAACCATGGCCCTGACCCCTACACACACAGTGAAACTTGATTTATGAAAGGCCTCCAAGAGTCGMTCAATGGGTGGTCCAAAGACCACCTGCCTTAAGAGGTCCAATTAGAAAGGAAGATTCCTGCCAGGAGCAGTGACCCAGGCTTGTAATTCCATTGACTCAGGAGGCTGAGGCAGGAGGATCACAAGTGGGGCCAATTTAGCAAGACCCTGTCTCAAAATAAAAATTTACAAAAGGGCTGACACTCAGTGGTAGAGTACCCCTGGATTCACTCTCCAGGACAGTGATAGGGGACATTCCTGAGCTCAACCTACTAGAAAGTAAGTTGAGCAAGGACAAGGTCTTTGCATGCTTTGTTCTGTCCCATCCCCAGTGCCTGGCAAAGTGCCTTGCACAAGGACGGCTCAGTGAATATTTAAGGATTGCACAAATGAGCATGAAAGCTCAGGGCTGGGGGCTAGAACATAAAATCTTAACAGGTCCTCAAGTGGTTCCCAGGTCCTGTTCTGGAACAGAGATAGAGGAATTCATTCTGAGGACAATGGCCTTTATCACTTGTTACTAGTATTGTAGTGACTTTAACCCTGCCCTCTCTTGGACCTGAGCACTCCCAGAGCACAGGGTCTTCGTTTTTTTCATTGAGCTAATCCCCAGCAACCTAGCACAGGTCCAGGCACACAGTATGTGCTTATGAAATGTTAGTGAATAAATAAACAGTCACAGATTGTCTGAAGTAGAAAATCAGAAAGGAAGACAGATGGGGAAGGCAGAGAAGCAGGGAGAATTGGGGAGGATGGAAACAGCAAAAAATACCAAGGTTCAAAGAAAGCTCAGGAGAGAGAAAGAAATAATCGTTTGTATCTGTACAGCTTGCACCATTTTTCACATGCATGACCTCAGTTAGCCGGCCTGACTTCCCAGGGTACTAGGTATGATTAGCCCATTTTGCAGGTGACATAACTGAGGTTAGGAAGGTCAAACAACCTGCCCAAAGGTGATTAAGCTAGTAGGGCAGGGTCGAGACAGGACAGAAACAGGACAGATAAATGATCCAGATGGAAGGAGAGATACTGAATGAGATCAGGAGCCAGAGAAAGCCAGAGGGGAGGCCCAGAGAGCCTGAGAGTAACCCATGCTCTTGCATAAAAGTAAAGCCCCCCTCCCTCATTCTCGGTCCACCGCAGCTCAGGCAGGCCAGAGGCTGGGGATCACGAGAGAAGCGAGGGGGGCGGGGCCCGGAATACAGGCCGAGGACCCCCAGCTCCTCGCTCCCAGGCTCCACTGACCTCGGCCAGGGTTGGGGTCCTGCGCCCGCCCCCCAACACGTGCGGGAGGGGGGAGACCCAGGGCGCGCCTTGCCCCTCCCCCACCCCTCCCCCGCCGGCTCAAACAAAGGAGCCCCGGCGCGCCGCCGGGCTGAGGCGGCGCCGCGCAAAGAGCGAGTGGCGGGCGCGCGCATGGCCCGGGAGCGCGCGGGCCCGACTCGGCTTTCGCCTGGTTCGGCCCGGCTACCTGGGGTTACTGGAGTTCCAGTAGATGGGGTGGCGGAGGCTGGAGGCCCCCCGCAGAGGGGAGCCGAGGAGCGCGGCCCAGAGGACAGTCCGCAGCAGGGGCAGCAGCCGCATCGCCCCCAGGGTCCGGTCTGGTCGGGTCCGGCGGGTCCCGGCCCGCTTCGCGTCTGAGCGAGAAAGGTACAAAGTGGAGAGGGGGGGGTTGTGGAAAGGGGGGGTGGTGCGGAGACTCCCGGGCCACGCCCCCGGGTAACTTTCCACCAATGAAAACCTGTCTCCGCCTCTGCGCTCGGAGCCAACTTTGGTTAACCCTTTGTGCACCGTGTCGCGCGCCAGGTTAGCCAAAGGTTCTACTGAGGCCGCGCCGCACTGCCACCGGGCGAGAAGGAGGTGGCACTTAAAAACTCCACTAAGAATGATGAAGGGGAAGTCTTGTCTTTCTTGTCTCGTTTTGAGGTAGAAAGCCTTATTAGAAACTTGGGAGACTGGGCGCGGTGGCCGGCACCTGTAGTCCTAGCTCCTGCAGAGGAGGCTCGCTGGAGCCCTGGGATTTGAGGCAGCCTGGGCAGTTTAGCAAGACCCGGTCTAAAGAGAGAAGGAAGGAAGGAAGGAAGTTTGGGAGATTTTAAACGAGCGAGCATACACCCTTCACCCAGATGGGGAAAGTGAGGCACGAGCAGGGATCCACCAAGTCTGTCCAGCCACCTTCATGTTCAGCCACCCCCTTTTCTCAGCACATCTAGGGCCACTGAGACGAGAAGGGACAAAGAGCCTTCTCTGGGACACACCTGTCCCCACAGAGCCTTAGGGGGTGTGCTAGATGCCCACTTTGGGGTTGGCGCCTGTCCCTTTCTGTCCCACACCCTCGTTCTGGGCAGGGGGCCCACGCGGCCCCATCCCGAGGACGAAGTGATGAAGTGGTTGCGGCCTGTACAAAGCACCTTTGTTCCCGAGCCCTCAGGTGGGGGCGGGGGAGGGGCGGGAGGCAGGTGCGCGGCCTTGGGATCGTGGGAGCCGCCGCCCGCTCCGCCCCGGCTGCGGGCGCTGAGAATACCAGTTAGAGTCACTTTTCCCAGCCACTGGTGGAGGGTGGGGACGTGGTCCCACAGCTTGGCTGGCTTGTAGGTCGACAGCCGTCTCCGGGGACCGGGCAGCATGGGATGCGAGGACTGGGAGACTAGGGGTGGCAACGGGCGAACAACTCCCTGTGGTACAGGATCACGCTGAGAGTCACCCCAGACTGGGCAGAAACAAGTCGGGAGCATCCGCGGGGCACAGGCTGGTAGACCGAGGCTGGGACTCCCGCCCGCCCAGCAAGCCCTGGTCTGAGGAGGCAGCGTCTCCTGGCGGCCAGACCTGGAAACGCAGGAGGGGCGACCCGGCTTCCCAGAAGGAACCCTGAGACACGCGGTCAAGATCTCTCTTTATTGCAGCAGAACAGAGACAGGCTGGGTGCACCTCCCGCAGCCCCATCCAGCCCCAGTCCCCCACTAGCCCCCGGCTGCCGCTATACCGGCGAGTCATCAGGGTGCTGCTTCACAGCGCCGACGGTCTTGGTTCCCTAAGGCTGGGCATGACAGTGTCCCCGCTCCGGCTTCTCCAGTCATTGTGGGGGACTCCAACGGGGTTCCGCTTCTTTAAGTCCTAAATCCGAGTCGGAGGCAGCGGGACCTCAGAGTCAGAGGTAGAGCGAGGATGCTGCTGGAGGCGGAGGTGCTGGCCTGGAATCGGGGAGGAAAAAAGGTCACCCCCTTTCCCAGATCATTCACCTTGTCCACCCATGGTCAGCAACCCCCTCCTCACCTACCTGGAGGGGACCACTGAAGGCATGATTCCAGGCCCTGGGCCAGGCAAGTCACCCGAAGGGCGCCTGCCCTGGGGGTCCGCAGGCAGTGGCTTCCTGGGGGGTGGGGGCTTGGTAGGCCCCTGAGACTGAGAGAGGGAAGGCATGAGCTGGCTTGGTGCGCGTCGTGTTGCCCACCCCCATCGCACTGGTGCTGGGGAGCACCAGCTTGGGGGCAGCACCAGAAATCACCCTTGTCTCCAAACAAACCTGTCACCATTAAAGGAGCCACGGGGACATGTGCCCTCAGGCACAGAGGGGGGCATCTCGCCACGGCCACCAGCACCACAGCCCTAGGTGGGGGAAGAGGCTGTGCCCTTCTCTCCCCCCACTGTTACCTTCGGGCGCCTCACCACCGGGTCAGCGGGCAGAGGGCGCGTGGGGGGATTGGGTCGGTCAGCCAGCTCAGCCTGGACAGAGAGAGGGCAGTGGCTAAGTACAGCCAGGGGCAGTGGACATGCCAAGTTCCCCAGAGGAGTTCAGAAAAACATGCAAAGGCAGCCGGGGGCAGGGGAGAATGGGGCATGCAGAAGGCTTGGGTGCATGCCAGCAGATACATGCTTCAGCCTGAGGAAGGTGTGAGTCAGCCACGGAATCCCTGACTGACTGCAGTCCCGCCACTCACCACCAGATGGTGGTAGAAACCAAGGCAGGAGGCTCACCCTTTGCGGCTTCTGGGGCTCAGCCTGGGAAGGCCGAGTGACACCTTGGTCACCTAACGGAGAGCACCACTGGCAGGGAGCAGGGATGAGCACTGCAGTTGGGGACCAAGCCTCCCACCTGTTCTGGGCCAGGGCGGGGCCCGGCCCAGATTTACCTGGAGTCTCTTGGGCACAGGGTCAGGCGGCAGCGGCCTGGAGGGGGGGGCCGGAAAGCCGAGAGCACTAACCTGCTGAGAGGCCAGAGGAGTGACAGGCACAGAGTGGGGAGGAGGGGCAGAAAGACAGATGAGGGCAGAGAGGGTTAGTGTCCAGGCAGGGGTGGCCAGGGCCCCAGGGGCACGGGAGCTGGCATGCAGTTATTCAGCTGCATGCAGAGGGGTGAAGTGGGCATGCAGGTCACCTCCACACACATATTCCTGTCGTCAGAGCCAGAGGGCTCAGACCAGAGGCACTCACCAGCCCTTCTACAGGTGACTGGGCTTGTCAGCTCCTGGCCCACTGAAGGCCCTTCAGGGCACCATCCCCCTTGTGCCCTACACCGGTCACTGTGAGGGGCTTCAGCAGATTCACCTCTCAAAGCCATCAGCTAGGTGACGGCGCTCCCCACTCCAGGCTTACGCGGCTCTCGGCTGGCAGCCAGGGTGAGGGCAGATGGGAAGGCCGGCCTGACTCTTGACTCTGGGCAACGCTAGCCTTTCCCTGGGTCTAGACCCTTGGAAGCTCTGTCTCCCGACCATCAGCCACTTTGCCCAAGCTGGACGCCAGGCAAGGCCGGCCCCTCTTCCTGGGGCATCCAGGACTCACCTTAGTGCCTGGCAACACCTGGGCCCTCTGGGGGGGTCCTGGCCGTTCAGGGGGACTGGATTGGGCTGCCCTGAGCATGAGGAAAGGCAGAGGGGTGAGGACCCCATCTCAGACCCTGTTGCCACCCATCAGCCACCCCTGGGGGAGGTTAACCCTTGGTAGCCCTTTTGGAGAGCAGCTTTGTGTGGGGGAGAAGTTGGTCAGCCTGAGGGAGGGACCCCTGACCCCGCACTGGAGCCCTGGGAGAAATGGTCCCAGCACCCCAGCTGTCCCACAGGGGGTCCACCTGAGAGGTGAAGAGTTATAGGGTGCATGTAGGGAAGGTGGTGATCAGCAAGTTCAGGGACTGGGGCTCAGAAGCAGTGGCAGGTGCCCAGGTAGGGCAGGCTTCAGAAATCTCCCCCGCTGAAGGACGTGGTTACCAGGGAAGCGAGGCTTGTACCTGTATTGGCAGCTGGATCCCTTGAGCTGGCAAAGTCGCTGGCGCAGGCGGGCACGGTGCCAGTAACTGGCACCAAGTAGCACTAGGAGCAGCAACAGCAGGAGGCTGAGGAGCAGCCCCGTGGTCAGGGAGCTGGTTGCTGTGGGGGGAGGCCGGGTTTAGATGTAGGAGGGCTGAGGGCTCTATCCAGGAGGGAGCAGGGCCAGGGAGTGGAGAGAAGAGGTCAGAGAAGGCAAAGGGGCCAGGCAGAGGGCACTGGAAGGGACGAGCCCCTCCCCCTCCCACTTGCCCTCTCCCAGGCTACCTCGGAGCTGTGTGGTGCAGTCCGGGGGTGCCCAGCCCTCCTCGCAGTGGCAGTGCCTGTTGCTGTCACAGACCTAGAAGGACAGGGTGGCGATGACGGGCTCTGCATTGTGGGACCATTTCCCTCCTTCAGTTTTTCAAGATCTCAGACTTTCCCACTGGAAGGTGTGCTGGGGATGATGGGAAGAGAGAGCCAGCGCCCAGGAGAGGGACTCTTTATCCATGGCAGAGGAAATTGGGTCAAATGAACACTGTGGGGCATGTTCAGTATGCTAGGCACCGTGCTGGAAGCTTGCATACGCGTCACGCCGGGTAACAGTGCCCAGGAATCGTGCATGATTACTATGCCTACTGATTTATTTATCTGATACCGGGGAATGAACTCAGGGGCACTCAACTACTGAGCCACATCCCCAGCCCTTGTTTGTATTTGATTTAGGGACAGGGTCTCACTGAGTTGCTTAGCACCTCGCCGTTGCTGAGGTTGGCTTTGAACTTGCGATCCTCCTGTCTCAGTCTCCCAAGCCTCTGGGATTATAGGCATGTGCCACCACGCCTGGCTTATTATGCCTAGTTGATGAATAGGAAATCGAGCTCAGAGAGGTCAATAACCTGCCCCAGTCACAAAGCTAGAAAGTGGCAGAGCAAAGATTGGAACCTAGTAAATCATTCCTGTCCCTCGTTTTTTAGAGAGAGAGAGAGAGAGAGAGTGTGTGTGTGTGTGTGTGTGTGTGTGTTGGTCCTGGGGATCAAACCCAGGGCTGCTCTACCATTAGCTACATGCCAGTCCTTTTATTTTTTATTTTGAGACAGGGTTTCACTAAGTTGCTGAGGCTGTCCTCAAACTTGCGATTCTCCTGACTCAGCCTCCCAGGTTGCTGGCTACAGCTGTGTGCCACTGTGCCCAGCGTAGATGTCTGTTTCCAGAGCCCTCATTCTCCCCCCTGGAGGCTCCCTTCTCCCCTTTAGCCAGCTCACCCCATGTCCATGGCATCTGCTTCGACACTCTTGTGCTCCTAGGAGATCCACAGGCTGGCATCGGTGGTCTAGACACACCTGGCCCAGAGGTGGAGAAGAGCAAAGATCACACTTCTCACAAAGCTTGACGCGGCCYGGGCCCAGCCAGGCTGAGGCCAACACCTTCTTTTACAAGTGGAGAAACTGAGGCTCGGCAGGAAGACAAGACTTGCTCAGCCCACAGTAAGAATGTGGTTTCTGTGCAGTCGGTGCCTTTTACACTGGTGGACAGTGAAGCCCAGACACTGCTTGTCCCTTCTGACCGATCTTGCCCACCCAGGCTGCTCACCAGGCCAGGGCCACAGGCTGTGCCCGGCAGAGCCAGGAGGGGTTGGGCCACGTCGTTGCCCAGGTCCAGGTGTACCCAGCTGCAGTTCAGTTGAGTCCCGTTGGCCTCCAGCGTCTCCCAGCGCAGCTCTTGGGCTAAGCCCAGGAGAGGCTGCGTCCTGCCCCCCTGGCACTGAAGCTGCCCACAAACGGCGTCTCTGAGGGTGGGAGAAAGGCAAGCCGGGTCAGGGAGTGGGGCGAAGGCACCCACAAACCCAGAGCAGGGGCCGGGTTTCCCCACTTACCGAGGGGTGCAGGGTATGTAGCTGCCATTGGCGCTTCGGCCACAGCTCCCATAAACGTTGCCCCGAGTATTGGCTGTTTGGAGGCAGAGTGGCGCGGCGGGCTGGGCCCCAGGTCCCCAGAGTGACTGGCACTGCTGGGCATAGGAGGCACAGCGCCCGTGGACACACACAGCCTGGCCACCAGCACAGGGCTCGCCGTCCCCCAGGCTGATGTCCGGGGGGCACTGGGAGCTGTCTCCTGGGCAGAACTCGGGCAAGTCACAGTCCCCTCTGCTAGGACGGCACTGCCAGCCGGTGGGGCGCAGCTGTGGAGGGCRGGCGAGCATCAGTGCAACTGGACAAATCCAGCCAGGCCTGGGGATCAGAAGGACCCTTTTACTTGCCCCCTGCAAGTGAGCTCTGGGTAGCCAGTCTACACCTGGCAGTTCTTCTATTTTTTAGTACTGGAGATTTCACCCAGAGGTGCTTTACCACCGAGCCACATCCCCAGCCCTTTTTATGTCTTATTTGGAAACGGGGCCTCTCTAAGTTGCAGAGGCTGACTTGGAACTCGTGATCCTCCTGCCTGAGCCTCCCGAGTGGCTGGGATTGTAGGCATGTGCCACTGTGTCCGGCTTACCTGGCAGTTCTGACAACAGAGTCCGTCAGAGGCACACTGTGCCCCTGGCCTCAGCTGGCAGGTGAAGTAATCACAACAGGGATCTGTGCAGTCCTGGGCGAGGGTACAGAGGGACCAAGCATCACCGCAGGCTGAGCCTGAGAGCCTACCCCCAACATCTCCCAGACAGCACACCCAGCAGCCTGCCCTAACCACCAGCAGGAGAGCTACAAGCCCGAGACCCACGGCCTGATCCTGCAGACAGAGAAGTCTCTTCAGAACCACAGAGGAACTCAGAAGGCGGGGAGAGGGCTAAGGAGCCAGGGCGAGGGCGCAGAAGTGAGTGGGCAAGGC